GGGGAGTATCATTTTGTGGTGGGGAAATTTTGATTACCAAATTCGAGTTCTTTATCAACTGCTGATATTGGATTGTGATGGTAAACGGGGATTTGCCGCTGTTTTTTGGGGGTAAAATGGGGGTTGAATCAAGAATAGTTCCTGCCTATTCTCTGCGAAAGAAAAACGTAGCTGGGGTGACGTTTTTAACAAATAAATCTTGTCTAAGTAGTGGAATATAAAGAATAGTTTATCTTTTTTGGTGGAAATATGTTTAAAGTAGTAAAATGAGATTTATTTTGTCAAGTGATGTCTAATTACCCCCATGCCGCATCTCAAATTCAGAGTTATTTTTTATGCCTAATCTTTTCTTTTGAGTTGACAGTGCTTCTGTTGATATTTCAATGTTAATGTTTTTGATAAAGCTTCATTCATTTATTTTTCATTCATGTAGACTGTTTTTCAATTTTGACAAAAGCTTGATTACGAGCTACATTTAAAAGGTTATTCCAAATGGCTTTGAAAAAGTAGTAAACTAAAGCTTTTCGTCTGGCACTCTCCAAAGTTTAAAACGTCAGAACATAGATCGAAAACTCTACGCTAAGAATTTTATATACCCAGTTGTGGATCGAAATGGGCCAATCAGAAACACGAGCACATGACTGTAAAGGTTGACCAATCAGTGCCACTTGCCTATTAGAATGTTACCAGTGGAGTCCTAAGGTGAAAACGAACTTCTTTTATCTACACAGTAGCGGTTTTTTCGTGCTTATGTAGATAGATTCTAAAACTGCTAGGTGGAACGACGATCGGGCTTTACCAATAATCCGAAACATGTCGCCATTAAAGTAGTCCATTCAAAAGGACTGCGTTCCTGCTACAAAAAAAAGTTCTGTTGTTTATGAATTTACGTGCCAGTGTGATTCTGGCTACGTAGGACGCACCACCCAAAGATTGGAGGATAGGATAAAACAACACGTTCCATCTAATATTAAAAACAAAACACATCCCCAAAGAGAACAGCCACCTCGGTTGTGCAAATCTAAAATTACAACTAAAACCTGCGATTCTGCTATCGGGCAGCATTTGCTAGAAAACCCAGATTGTGCAAAAAACTATAATGGCTACATGTTACAAAATACCCGATTATGCAACGATTACAGAGCCTTTACGCAATCTAACAAAGAAAAATGCTCAGTTTAATTGGACAGAACGTTGTGAAGAGGCTTTCAACACGTTAAAAGATCTTCTCACGTCGAGTCCTGTCGTCAGCTACTTTTACATCGAGAAGGAAACTACAGTTATTGTTGACGCGAGTCCAGTCGGACTATCAGCCATTTTGTGCCAACGAAAGCCTGGAAGTGCGCAAGAAAACATTGTCGCTTTTGCAAGTAGATCATTATCACCCGTCGAGCTACGCTACTCGCAAACAGAAAAGGAGGCACTCGCCATAGTATGGGGGATTGAACACTATCATTTACAGGCACGTAAATAATAGGGGGGCGTGGGGGGCGTAACGCCCCCCCAAAGTTTGGAAAATCCAGTTACAGTTGGAAAACGTAACGGTTGACTTGGAATATTTTTCTTAAGACCAAACTTGTGAATTTTATATTTTAAGAAGTTTTTTTATTTTAATTTATAAAAATTCTAAACATTAAAATTCACAGGCTGAAGCTGACCCATCCAATCGTTTTCTATTGTGAATCCCGTCTCCACTGGGTCCAAATTGCAAACTTGCCCCGTTTTCTTTTTCTTTCTTTCTGACGGGAGTTGAATCAAATTACGAACAGGCAAGGTGAACTTACGGATAAGAAACCT